GCAGCCCCAGCTGAGGACCAGCTGAGAGCAGCGGTGGCTCAACTGCAACCACCGGGTGCCGTAGGCAAAGCCACGCAGCCCTTTCCCTGGAAGCACAATAAACCATCTCCCCACCTCATGCACTGCTGGCCTGGAGAGCAAACAGGCCACAAAGCAGCCATTTCCACCGAAGGGATAAAAAATGAGTTTGAAAGCAACACATTTTCTGCAAAGGGTTAGTTGGCCAAGTTAGAGGCAGAAGCAGGCAGCCGGTATCAAAGACACCAGGGAGCATGAATTTCAGCCTGACACAAGCAACCCCTTTCTTTCCCAAAAGGAAGGAAAATGGGATCAAGAGAAGAGAGGCTGGAGATATTTCATACTTGGCTAGAAGGAGACACGGACTGGTGAGCCCAAATGAATTTGGGAACGTGCCGTAGAGGAGAAGCAGGATTTGCTTGGAACGATGGGATTTGGAGCTGTTCTCTTGGTTGTTGTCCATAAACATTCATGAGACTAAATTTTGATTCGCCAGCATGTTCACAGAAAATGGGAGCTTGGCAGATACTCAGACAAATACTCGCTGGCTTGAGTATTTGCATCTGAAGCGTTTGGGCTGCCACCTCCAAAGCTTTTGGTGGCTTGGGAGCTATCCAGAGAAAGAGCCCAACCCCACCGTATAATCTGGGTGAGTAAACACAAGTGCGAAGAGTGTTTTCTGAATAACAGATACTGGATGCAGTGACAGCAGTAAAAGCAGCCAGATAATCAGGCTAGCCATCTCCTGGTTTAAAATTCATTTGCAAAAATCATTAGCACAATAATTGTAAAATAAGCAGAGGTATAATCACTCGAGGATAATTTGCAAAGAGGAAGAGGGCTGCACTCCCTGAAAAGAGCTGCTACGAGCTGTTAGGCTGCCTGGCTCTGGCTGAGGCCAGCAGCCCACCAGCTCCAAGGGAAGTGATGCTGGCCAGCACGGCAGGTCTGGCAGGCATTGCTTTTTGGGGCTCACTCGGAAGCATGGCCCTCTTAGGGGTCCTGCCAGCCTGTGCTGTGGCCACACTTGCTTCTACTCCTTCCTTCCTCCCCGAGGAGGCTCAGTGCTCAGCACTGGTCTGATTCCTGGCACCTCTTCTCCCCAGGAAAGCTTTGAGGACCTGGGCTCCCCCTGATCTCAGGCACCTCGTGTGGTCTCTCCCTGTCGAGCTGTGACCACTCAGCCCCATGGCACAGGGTCTCTGATTGCCTCAGACATCGATAGTTCTTCACAGGCTGCCTCCCGGGACGCACAGCTTCTTGGAAACCCTTCCCACGGAAACCTGTTCGATACTTGACACAGCTAGCACTGTTATTTACAACTGCCTTCACACACTGGTCTTAAAACTGCATTTATGGCACTTGCCCCTGCAGCTGCTAGGAGCCCTGGGGAGCAATTTCGTTTGGAAATCACCTATTTCAAAACAGGCATTTTTAAATCATTTCCATTGCCAGCAGCAGAAACAAAGCAGAACATGGTGGAAGAACCAAAAACCACAAAGAAATACAGTAAGAAAAAAAAAAAAAAGAAAAGAAAATACAAGAAAGGAAAAGGAATTTCCACCCTGGCGGAGATTAAGGGTGACCTGCAAAAGCAAAATAAATTAGGTTGGAGGACATTTTTTTTCTGGACTTGCCAAATTGTTTTTCCCCCTCATATACTCTGGAGACACAGGGAACTAGTGAGATAATGTCAGCTGGAGATACTGCAAGTAAGAGTTCATCAGCTGTGAAACAGCCAGGTTCTTTTAAGCTCCGTGTTTTTTCTTGTTTCTCCTGTGCATACCGCCTTAATTCATTTGGTCAAGAAACACCTGGGAGAAAAACTGCCTCTGCTAAAGATTTATAACCACTGAGATTTCAGATAGCAGGTGGGACCTGGAGGACCAAGCATCCTCCAGCACAAAATGAAGAAGATCAACCTGACAGGTCCCGAGATGTGTTATGGGAGGAGGGGGGATACGAGGTCATTAGCAGGAAATCCATTTATTCAGAAAGGTCACAGTGGCATTTTCCCTATTATTCCTTTGAATGAAGAGCTTTCACATGCAGTTTGTTTCAGCAGGGGACATAGGTATGTGACCAATTTTTCCATTTGATGGAAATAAATGTCTGTACATAAGGAAGCTTTGGAGAGAAGAGAAACACGCTGCTCCATGAGGGGTAACGTGCCTATGACTCCGTTAACTGCTAAAGCACAGTGCCAGACCCAGGTTTCCAGTTTCTGTGATGTGCTCCTCTTGGCCAGTGCAATGGCAAGGGGCACCAGGCCCCAGGAACCAGGAGCAAGAGGTAGGACAGACACCAGCTGTGGGATTTCTGCTGGGAGAGGACTTTGGGTAAGACTCTGGTACCTAGCCACGGGCAGAAAGAGCGGGGAGCTCTCTTAAACCTTGTCTTTGCATAAGTAACCACAGTTGCCTGTCTAAATCAAAACCAGCTAGGCTAAATCAAACCAGAGCAGCCCCCTTTGCAAGCAGTTTGAAAACAATTTAGGTGGGCATAGTCATGTTGATGCAAGCATGCCTGTGTCTGTAGGCTGCTTTGATAAATGTAGTTAAAATACCCGAACGTCTTTCTATCAGTGAAACTGTGCTCACAAGGGATTGTGATGGTTTAGCTCCAGCGCTTCTAAATCCATCCAAAAGCAGTGTGAAAAGTAACCTGTCGTCAATTTAGCTTAAGCTTGATCATGATGGACTTCATACAAATTAAAAAATAAAAATAAAAAAAAGTGCCACACAGTTGAAATCTGGTTTACAGCAGCATGGGAAGGGTCGGCATGTGCACCCATGTGCAGGGTGACGCTGGCATAAGCGCAAGCAGGAGAAATGGAGCAGAGCAGGTCTGGGTTAAGGAAAGCATCTCCGGCTTTGCTTGCCCACGTAATGCACACACACAAAGCGAGCCCTTGTTCGCAGCAATTGTATTTCACCCCCTCGGGGGACTTGCTCCTATCAATAGAATTGGACGTCGGGAAATTGTTTTGCCGTCACTCGATGGGCCATATGTACGTCAGCCTGTCCGAGGGACTCTGGCCAGAACAAGCTGAAGGTGCTGCTGACACCTCTGCCTGGGCCCATAAGATGAACGGGAAAGGAGAGGCATTTGGAGCAGGCTACCCCTGCCCATTACAAAAAAAAGCCCAGCTCTGACTTCACAGAGCCCAGGTAAGCAGCAAAGTGGGAATGAGCAATCCCACCCCCAAATACCAGGGAAATGTCACACCCCAACTTCCCCATCTTGAACTCCAAAAGAGGCTGCAGTGAGGGTCCTTTGGTTCATACAGGTAAGTTATGTAAAAATTCATGTACCAAATAACTTCTAAATGCTGAGTCCTTTCACTGCTGCTCCCAGACAATGAGGTTTCAGGGGCAGGACAACCACAGAGCCCTGTGGTCCCAGAGATGCTGGCTGAGAAACACCTGCCTCCAGCTCCCAGGGCATCCCCACTACAAAGCTAGAGAAGCCTGTGTGTGGGAGGGAGGCTCACGTTGGACAAGGTGGTGATGGCCCTTCTCCAGGACGTGGGGAAGTGAAAGGCTGCTTTTTGTTTCGGAGTGGGTTTATGCTCCATGCGAAAAAGAAGCTCGTTTCATTGACTGCTGAAATATGAGCTTGTGAGAGGCACCAGACTGCCTGTCATCACTCACCCGTCTCCAGAGACTGTTACCCACACCGTGGCACACCGTGGCACAACTGGATAGCAGCATACACATCTCCCCAGCCTCTCAAGTCTCAAGTCTTAATCCTTGCTTTCTGAAATCTTATATTATTTTCTTCTCCTTTGATTACCATTACTTCCCCCTTGCCCTGTTCAAGGCCTACTTAGCTAACTAGTAAGAGGTGAGGTGTTTGTAAACACATGCAGTCTTATCAAGCAAAGAACAGCAAGGTGGCCAGATGCTCCCTGTCCGTGTGTGAATGCAGACCTTCCTCTTCCCCTGCCCTTGCTGCTGTGCACCCAAGGCACATGGCTACTGCCTCTGATTTCTACCCAGGCAAGGGCCAGGACCCTTCATGGTCAGGAAAACATGTCACCAAACCCCTCCTGCCACACACCCAGGGAACCTCACAGCTGCTGCACAGCGCCTGTAACTCATACCACAAACACTACTGCTCTCTGTCCTCTCCTGGCCCTTCTTTTATTCTTTAGCAAATATTTTGCCTGATTTTCCTTTCTAGGGGGAGTTGGCAGGGGGAATAACCTTCTAATGAAAAACAAAACACACACACACACAATGGGAACTAGGTGCTTGAAAGCTGTTTTTTTTATGTAGTATTTTTCCTCTGGTATGGCGGAGCAGCAGAGAACAGCCATCTTATAACTTCCTTTGCATTTCAGCTTCAAATGCATTATGTCTTGGCCTCCTATCAACAAGAAGGAAAATAAAAAATCTCTCCCTCCTTCCTGTACCACCCCTTCTGATGGCATACATACAGCCTGGTGGTTTCCCTTCAGACAGACCCAGCAGTCCAGCCGTGACCACAGGGTGGGCATCTTCCAGAGGCTGGTGAAGACCTCCATCATATGCACGCAGCAATGCCTAAGACATTTGTGCAAGTTCAGCAAACATTACTTGGTCTGTATCCTGGGGGGTTTATAGCAATCAATAGCCACAGGTGGTATTTTCCCCTTTCCCCATCTGGGTGTGCTTGGCTCACTGAGCTTTCCCTTAAACTTTCTGAGAGTCTGTCAGTCCCATCCAAAGGGTCTGGATGGAAGCCCCAGTCCTGGGAATTCTGAAATTTCTTCAGTGGGAACAGCAGCTCCTCCCCTGACTGTTAAAGCATGCTGCCTCCTGACAGGGCTGGGACACTGCTATCAGATTATACACAACCAACAGAGGAACCAGTTCAAACCCACTACGTCCCCCCCCCCTCACCTCTATGAAAAGCGTATTTAAGAATAATCACAATATACTCTCGCTTTACAACCATCACAATCTTCACAAACTTGCCTGACATCAAAAAGAGAAAAAATTCCCCACACCAACAACATTGTGTAGCAAATTAGAAAGCAGGTATTCTTTATTAACAGCGCCGGGGATGTGGGGGATAATGCCAGGACGTCCCTGGCTCCCAGGGGCAGATCCAGGCCGCGGGCCGCCCTCCTGGCCTGGACCCCAGCCTGGCAGACATTGTTCCTGTCAGCGTGGAGCAGCCATCTCACCTCAGCACTTCCTCACCACAGGCAGGTGCCCTCTGTCAGTGCTGCCATCAGGGGCACCCCGAGACCCTTGTGATGCCACCACAGAGTCACCGTCACCCTGTGACCTCACAAAAGGTGGCAGGCTATAAGAGCCCCAAGCGTCGCGCCTGAGTCCAGTCCGGCTGCTGGTACTCGAGATTTCGAAGTCCCATTGCTGGAAGGCGAGAGGTGGAGGTGTTGCTGGAAGCACACACAAAGCCCTTTTTGTTGCACACGATCCATCGAACTCCTTCGGTAAGGTTATCAAATATATATACGGATACGTACCTCATCTGTCCTAAGTGTAGTCTTGTGAAGCATAACCTATCATGAGCATATTTGCCACTCCAATAGCAATGTTTGTAATCCATACTAAGAATATTCGCTGCTACAGTACTGTAGACAACGTGTTTGAACCTATCAAGCTAATGTATAGTTGCTGATAGAATATTTTCTGCCTGGTTCTATCTGTAGTGGTCCTGCTGGTGGAACGCGACACGTCGAGGTCCAGCCAGCGACACGAGTGGAGGCACTGAGGTCCCGTCAGTGACCATCAGTGCAGGTGCTGAGGACCGCAGGCTGCTGAGAAGCGCCTGGCACCAGGAGAGATCCCAGGGGACGACCGTCTCTGCGCCAGGGCGGCTGCAAGCAGCATGAACTGGTCCCAGCAGGAGCAGCAAGAGGAGGCCCCCGGGGACGAGACGTGCCCCATCTGCCTGGGCCAGATGACCGACCCGGCTCGTGTCGAACCGTGCAGGCACACCTTCTGCCGGGAGTGCATCCGCGTCTGGACTGCCGACAGACTCAGATGCCCAATGTGCCGCGGGCGTATCGTGGCCATCGTGCGCGTGGTGCCGCCCGCCCTGCGTGACGCATTATCCCGCTGGCTCCGCAGAAGATTGGAGCACAATGCGGAGCTGGGGCGGCGGCAGCGGCAGAGGAACCCCTCCAGATATCGGTCCCGCAGCGTCTCGCCCAGGCGCAGGGAGCGCAGCCCCGCCATGGGGCAACAACTTCGGAGAAGCTTTTCCTGGCACTCGGGGGACGATGGGCGCGGAATGCTACGGTCCCGGGAGGACGACAACATCGGGGACATGCGCTGGATTCGAAGGGCCCAGCTGGAGGAACCGGGGTCTGGCGACCACGCGGGCCGCCAGGCCAGGCCCGAGGACTGAGAGGGGCCTCACCTGGGGACGGGCTGGGGGTGGCAGCCACAATTACCCCAGTATTAAATTGACTTTTCCACCCCACAAAGCCTCTGTCTGCACTTATTCCTGCATTGGTTAGGGGAAGGGGGGGGTGAACACTGCGGCTTCCTCAGCAGATATCCTGGTGGTTGAAATCCCCCATCAGCACAAGAGCTTGTGAGTGTGACAGTTCTTGCAGCTGAAGCAAGAAGGCCTCATCAATCAGATAGCGCTGTAGCAGACCCCAACCACTAGATGTCCTTTACTGGACCGATCCTTGATTTTCACCCACAAGCTCTCAACCGGCTCATTGCTGTTCCTCAGGCACAGCTCTTGACAGTCTCTCTACTTCCTAACACAGAGAGCAACTCCTACCTTCCTTCCTCACCTACCCATTCTGAACAGTTTGTAGCCATCAAAAGCCACACTCCAGTCATGGGAATCATCCCACCAGGTTTCTGTGATGACAACTACCTCCCAGTTTCCTATGAGCATGGTGGCCTCCAGCTCCTCCTGTTACCCAGACTGCATGCATTAGTGTAAATGCACCTCAGCTGGGCCACCTTTTGGGAGGGAGAAGCCCTAATACCCTCTTGACCATACTCAGGTGTCTCCACAGTAACCAACCTCCCACCAACCCTTGTGTCCTTCCTGCACAATGGTATGTCATCCTCATCCTTCACCGAGACACAAGACTGCAAGGTCTTGCTAGCACATTCCTCACCCACGAGAACTGGCATGTTACTCCAGGCTCCTTTCTGGTGCCCTCAGTTCCACGCCTGCCCCCTCCATACCTAGTTAAAAGCTCTGTTGATGAACCGTGCCAACTGCCATCCTAAAACCCTTTTCTGCCAGTGAAAAGACCTATTTCTGTCTGTTGTCAGCAGGCTTGGTCCCATGTAAATTGACTCAAGGTCAAAAAAAAAAAAAAAAAAAAAAAGAACCCTGCCCGTTACACCAGGCTCGGAGCCAATTATTAACCCACTGGCTCATCATGTCCAGTCCCTCATTATTTCCTATAACTGGAGGGATAGAGGAGAACACAACTTGTGCTCCCGAACCCTTGACCAGTCTCCCCAAGGCTCTGAAGTCCTTCTTCATAGTCCTTAGAGGAGTTCTTCCTATTTCATCACTGCCTACCTGAAACTACAAAAGAGGACAATAATGCGATGATACTTGCAAGTGTGCTATGTAACTGTATCCAATCTGAATAAACTCTTCAGGTGAGCAGTTGTATACTGCACCGTGTCAGGTCCGAACTGGTGTAGTGGGTTTACGTGGCAAGGTTTTGGTAGCAGGGGGCCATAGGGGTGGTTTCTGTGAGAAGGATCTAGAAGCTGCCTCATGTTAGTTAAGGGCCCCGCTGCTGTCCAGAGCTGAGCCAATAAGTGATGTTTGAGCATCTGTGAGAGCAGATTTAAGAAAGGGGAAAAAAAAACGCTGTACCACACAGCAGCTGGGAGAGTGAGAGGAGTGAGGAACAGCCGTGAACGCGCCAAGGTCAGTGGAGAAGGAAGGGGAGAGGTGCTCCAGGCACCAGAACAGAAATCAATCCCCTGCGGCCTGTGGAGAGGCCCATGGTGAAGCAGGCTGTCCCCCTGCAGCCCATGGGTCCCACATGGAGCAGATCTCCACGCTGCAGCCCATGGAGGAGACCACGGTGGAGCAGGTGGACCTGCACTGAAAGAGGCTGTGGCCTGTGGAGGACCCTTGCTGGAGCCAGAGCCCTTGGACCAGAGCTGCAGCCCATGGTGAGGAGACCACGCAGGAGCAGTGGGCCTGGCAGGAGCTGCTGCCCGTAGGGGACCCAGGTTGGAGCAGTTTTCTCCTGAGGGATGGACCCTGTGGTACGGACCCATATCTGGAGCAGTTCTGGAAGAGCTGCTGCCTGTGGGCAGCACATGCCGGATCTGTTCAGCAAGGACTGCATCCCATGGGAGGGACCCCACAGCATGGGACTGACCATGACCCCCATTCCCCCGTTCCCCTGCACCGCTCGGGGGAAGGAGGTGGAAGAAGGTGGATGGGGGGGAAGGTGCTTTTGGTGTCTTTCCTTTGCTTCTCGCTTCTCTAGTTTGTTAGTAATAAGTAATAAAATTTACTATCTCCCTGTGCTGTCTGTTTTGCCCGTCATAATAATTACTGTGTGATCTCCTCTTCCTTATCTCAACCCTTGAGCCCTTTCCATCATATTTTCTCCCCGTTCCTCTTTGAGGAGGGAGAGTGAGAGAGCGGTTGTGGTGGAACTCGGCTGCCCACCCGAGTAAAACCACCACAGTGATTAGTTTCTGTCTAGGATTATTGCAGTATTATCAGGCTACCTCAAGAAAAGTGGACACATCACCACCTCTCTGGCAGCAAGACACTATCTTCCACCTTAAAGGCATGGCAAGAGGAGCCAAGGGTTGTACAAGAAGCCCATGTTAATACCTAAGACTGAACCTGGTTGGCAAGACCCAGTCCTGCTATTTAAATTTATGTTGCTTAAAGAAGAGAAGGCTGATATCTTCCTCAAGACCAATACTGACATGTTGCTGGTGGTTACCACCAAAACCAGACCCCTGTGAACACTCCTGTTGGGTGGTGGATGGAGGGCAAACACCCTCAAGACCCATCGGGCTGGTGGCTTTGCCAGACAATCAGGCTGGGCCCCCATGGCACCACCATGTGCCTTGGGCTTGCAGTGGTGGCGACCACCAGTTTTTGCTCCAGCTGCAGGTAGGGACCTGCTGCAGGGTGGCTCACCCCACCGAACTGTGAGCAGCACTGCTGGAAGGGAGGGGGAAAACGTCAAAATGCTTACTGTAGGGCATGGCTGCAAGCCTGTGGATTTTAAGCTCTTCCCAGGACATTTAGCTCTTAAAAAATAAAATAAAGTAAATGGTGCCTTATGTGGTGCTGCGCTCCTTTGTAGCGAACAAGAAAGAGGTTTGCCAGCTATCTCTACCTTCTACAGCAAATCGTCTCCAATCAAATGATAACATCCTAGAGAGGTAAAAAATTTGATACTTCACTTTCAGCGTTCATTTCACCGATGATTTTTAGTTTTTTATAGGAAAGGAAATTAAATGGGGAAAAAATTGCCCTATGCTAATTCACCAGTTAAACTCACAGAAGAGTGCAAAAGATAAGGTTCCCATAGCAATTGGAAAAGGTACTGCATGGCACAGATGAGGCCTGATTTTCCCACTTACTTTTAGTGCTGGCAGTTTATCTCCACACAGCATGGGGACAAGCAATTACTTGGAAGGTGGAACAAGGGAAAGGAGCCTGTGGCACCCGTGATTCTCTTTAATGGCAATTCTCCTGCAAGGTGCGATACGGCACTATTGCAAGGCAGCTCCACACGACCGTGCGTGCCCTGGGTTACAGTAAGGTTCCCAGGGAGATCCTGCTGCTGGCTTTTCCTCTGGTTTTAACCGCGAAATCCTGATAGGCATTCAGGTGGGCTTTAGCACTAAGCATTAGGGCCACACATGCGATGTCCCAGCCTCTGCAGGACAGGGCTGCATGGCACCACACCGAATGCTGCATCCCTGTGAAATCTCTCCCATTCACGACCACCCGTGCAATGAGACACCATTATTTCAACACAATCTGCTGCCAATGAACCCATTTATTTATTAATTATCCCTTTATCTTGCCTGAGTTTATGACTGTTGTGCCCAATTTTGCCTGCCTTTTCCCCTGAGTGGTCACCAGTAGAGCCGAGGCAGCACAATCCTTCTCCCACCCTCGCCCCAAAGCTGCTCTGCAGCGCAGAATCAGGCCCATCAACTCCTTCAATTAATTCCTCTATAAGATGCCCCAGCAGTGCAGTTAAATTTGTGGGCGTGCAGTCCCTGGGGTCTCATTTCTCTCTGTTGTGCTGCAGCTCATTTTTAACCAAACTGCTCTGGGACTTTGCCTTCGCTCCATGATTTTTCTGAGAGAACTAAGACTCAGCTGTTTCACTCTCAGGTGCATGTTCACTGGGCCACGTGGGTTTGACTGAGAGCACATCCCATGGATAGCTATCCCTCATCCCTTTCCCACCCTGCACCTGCCATAAGATCCATCATCAGTAACTGTGGTTGCATCCAGCGCCCTGTCACTCGTCCCTTTCAGCAAGAGCCGAAGCTGTAACTGCTCACACTGCAGCCTCCTTTCATCATTGCCTGTGATACATTACTGGCTCCCTCTCCCTCCTATGTAGGTGACCTAGCAATACACTTTCCTTTGTCATCCTCACGCTTCTTATGTACTTCTGAGCCCACTCACTTATTTCCTGTGCTAACGCCCCATCGTTTTGTGCCTTTGCATCCCTAACTTTGCTCCCGCACACCTTTATTCTCTGCTCTCTCTCACCACTGTGGTTTCCTTTCCTCCTCCCAACATCACTGCTTCTTTTATTTTTTTTTTCTTTTCTTTCCTTTTTTCTTTTTTTTTTTTTGTTAACAGATTACTTTTTTTTACATTTATTTCCCCCCCAGCCAGTGTCAGTACTGGAGGACACCTCTGACAAAAGCGTGTTGCTCCCTGTCCAGCTGCCAGCGGGGAGAGTTGTCCGTAGGGTGTCCTGGAGCTGGAAGGAGAGATGTCCCTGGTGTCTCAGATGTGAAGGAGAGAAGGGAAGAGCCCAGGAGAGAAAAGAAACTACTTCAGGAAGGAGAGAGAGCGAATCAATCCGGAGCACGAAGCCGACATCCCCAGTGCCTCAGAAGTGCGTTTCTCTCTCTGTGATGCTGAGCACCTCCTGGACTGGAGGGGACTGCTCCTTGCGCTCCGGTTCGGGCAGACACGCCGTGTGCTTCTTCACCTGTGGCAGGTCCTCTGCTGGGGAAATCAGCTGCACTAGCCGCTGTGGAGGGGAAGTCTCTGTTAATTGAGCTGATAAACAAAGTGACACCAAACAGTGATCTGCAACCACTGCTGGGGGCAAAGGCGTCCAGAGAGCTAATGCATGCAGCTCCCACTCCTCTCCTGCTGAATGGCCATGGATGGGAGAGGAAGGAGGGAAGGCTTTCTTTAGCTGCTTGCAGCAAAAAATATTCCACCCCTGGGCTCAGACCCTTCCTGTGG